GATAATGATATGTATACTTGCGTAGTATCCCATATTAAATATTATAAATATATTCTTACTTTCTTTGAAATTAAGAATTTACCTAGATTTTTCTTGGGATCAAGTTTTTTGTTTTATTTCAAGTTAAGAATTATAAATAAGGAAATTAAGCATATAATTGCATACATTGCATTGACATCTATAAAGAGAATTGGGATCAGTTATGCGGAGACCAAAGTTGATGGTGCCTTTTAGGTAACATAGTATGCGCTTGATTAGTTGAAAATAATGTATTAGAGGACAACGCATTTGTTGACATATGTGATTGACAGTCAAGGCAATGTCAGGCCTAGTTATTGTAAGGAATTGAATAGAATCAGCTAGCTATCGGTATCGTGTGACATTATAGAGTTCTTGGAGGGAGGATTGATTGAGTTGCAGCTTATGAAAGAGTGGAGTTTCGCCAGGTTTGCAATAAGACATGCCAACTTGTGTAAGAGGGATAAAATGTAGGAGGATTGATGGAGAAGGCAGTCGAATGATGTTTGTTAAGTGGTGATACCAAGAAATGTTGTGATGGTACCAAGATCCTTAACTGGAAGTCAGTTTTGAGGTTTTGAATGAGGCTAACAATAGCGAATGTATTATTTCCCGTGATAAGGATGTCATCCACATATACTAGGAAGTAGGATGTGGTTTGATTTTTATGTAGATGAGTAGGGAGGGATCAACAGTGTTGAGATGAAAACATTTGGTGCTTGAGTATGAGATGAGGGTGGAGTATCGTCTCCTTGGAGCTTGTTTAAGGCTGTAATGTGCCTTCACGAGGAGACACACTCGTTTGGTATATTAGGTATCATGAAGTCTTGAGTTTGAGTTATGTAGATGGTTTTGTCTAAAGATTATTGGAGAAATACGTTCGAGACATTTAGTTGTTGAATGGCTCAGTGATGGTAAGTTGCGGTGGAGAGTAAATTTTTGGATTGTGGGCATTTTGATGATGGGACTAAAGGTTTTGTTGTGTTGAATGCTGGGTTTTTGCTTGAAGCCCTGTGCAAGCAACCTTACCTTAAATTTTATTAATGATCAGTCTTGAGGATATTTGGTACAATATGTCTATTTGTTATCGATGATGTTTGCATAAGAGGGAGGGTCAACAATGATCCAAGTTCATTTTCGTTGGAGAACTTCAGATTCCTCGGACATCGCTTTGCGTGAATGTGAGTTTTTGATGGCTTGAGTGTATGTTGTGGAGTCAGGTAGAGATGATAAAGGTGATGGAGATTGAAAATTTTTCTAGGTTTAGGAGATTCGATTTGAGAGTTGATTGTCATTGGGCTTTCGATGGTTTTAAGATGTGAAATGGGTGGGAGTATTGAAGTTGAGATTGCTAAGTTATGAGGTGAAGAGGAGTTATTCAAAGAGATGTAGGTTTGGTTTGTTGGTTGCTTGGTGGAGATGAAACGTTGGTTGGTTTAGTGGGCGACGTAGAGGTTGGTGTTAGTATGTTTGGTGATGTGAGAGATGTGGGAGATGAAGTATGGTAGGGAAACATAAGTTCGTTGAAGTCAACAAGTCAATAAATGATAATTTGATGAGCTCGAGGATTATAGCGGTAATAAACCTTTTGATGTGGGGAATAACCTATGATGATACAAGGTGGTGAGGTGGGGGCAAGTTTATGTGGAGTTTGCGGTTTTTGTTAGGGGAAGTAGAGGCATCCAAATGTACGAAGATGAGTGTTTGTGGGTGAAATATTATGGAGGAGCTCATGGGGGTTTTTTGTTTTTTTGGTTTTAGACAACACACAATTTATGAGATGTATGCTGGTTAATAATGTTGTTGTCTAAAATTTAAAAAGAAGGTGAAAGTTAGTAGAATATTTCTTATGATTTTAATGAGGTTATGATGTTGCTGCTCGACTACCCCATTTTTTTTGGTGTATATGAACAACTAAATTGATAAAAAAAAATGTCGAGGGAGTTGAGGAAAGTGTTGAAAGTAAGGTATGTATATTCACCGTCGCCATCGGACTATCGGGCTTTGATGTTTATGTTGAATCATGTTTAAATTATTTTGTGAAATGTTATGAATTTATATATAGTCTCAGATTTAGTAAACATAGGGAACACATATGTAAACTTGGAATAATCATCAATATAGAGAATGTAATATCTAGATCCATGTATTGAAGAATGGGTGTCGGACCCCAAGCTTTGAAACAAACAATATCAAAAAAGTATTTAAACTCAGAAGTTGAAATATTAAAGAGTAGGATTTGGTTTGTTTTGTGGTCCTTGATAACAAAACTATTTGAGTAAAGGATATGTCGCAATTATTATCAAAAACTAGTTTTTGAATTGAAAGAAGACTGTAAGATAGAAAGAGAGAGTGAAGGAGGTTGGGAAAAAAGTAATTTTGTTGAGATGTATGTAGGATGTCTTGACCAGTGTGGGTGATAGGAAGATTGGTGCCATCTCTGATAACAACATAGTCAGTATCATTGTATGGTTTGGCTTGCTGGAGGTGATTGTAGTTGGACGTCGATGAGTTGTACGCCAAAGTTAAGAAACCAATCTTCTGAGTAAGTTGTGGTTGATTTCATTAAAGTTGTATCAAATTTGGTTGATGGATATGAGCTGAAATTAGCTCTATGCCAACATTGTAGGGCAATATGTCTGGATTTTGTACAAATTTTGCATGATGAGCGATCAGAATGTGAGTTGGACCCGCGACCTCCTTTGTATGAAATCCACGTATTGTTGTTCCCTATGACATTCTAGTATTTTCGGCCCCATCCTCTGATGCCGCCATTGTATCCTCCATAAGTACTGAGTAAAGCAGTTGTTGTGGTCGTGGTTTCCTTGGCGTGTTCAGCTAAAATATTTATCTTCTCGTTGCAGAGCAGAGAACACAGGTCATCCATCTTGATTGGTTAAGACCGATTAGGTTTGGCAATTTTAAAGGAATGGTAGGGAGCATGGAGAACATTGAGGATGTAGAGTACAATATCTTTATGATCGATATGTCCTCCAGCAACTATAATATTGTCAACAAGTGATTTAATTGTCAAGAGTTATTGGGACATGGTTTTTTATTTCATGGAGATGTGGTGGAGTTCATTCTAGAGTTGGATAGATCGAGATCGATTTGTGGATTGGAGCTGAGATTGGAGGGTTTAACCATATTTTTTTGGTGCATTCTAAGTTGAGAAAGTAGGGTAGCATTGTGGGGGATATGGTGGAGTATATTGTGGTCGAAAGGTTTTGGTCAATGAGTTGACAACATAAGAATAAAGGGTTTGAAGTAGTTTGACCATCAGAGTTATGGATTTGAGGTGGAGGGTTGATTGCAGTGTTATTGAGGTAGCTCTTGAATCCATTGACTTTGGGGAGTTTGTAGATTTTGGTTTCCATGTTGGGTAATTTTCAATTATGTGTTGAACATTGTCAATGATTTTAACATTAAACATAAAAAAATTTAGAGATGAAGTGATGAGAATTTTTGCTATTTTCGGATGACCTGGATTGGAGTCTCGATCGGTATAGGAAGAAGTTCTAGATATTTTTGAAAGGAGATATATGAAGGAGAAAATAGTAATTAGAAAGTAGAGGGAAGATAGACTTAGATATTTGGATGATAACCTGGGTGGCTTGATGCCCATGATACCATATGGGAAATCGAGAAATGCAACAGCTATGGAAACTCCATTGCTATTGATATAAGAAGGAGACCCCAGAGCTTCATTTGCAATATGTGATGGTAAATAGTAAAGTAATAAAAATATTTATACATAAAGATGTTACTGCGAGGTATATATAAAGGTAAACTATAAGAATATTCTGGAAAGGAAAAACATCTTGACACCATTGGTGATTTATAGAGAAAGTGACAACATAAGTCTTTATGCAACCTGGTAGAGTAGTGTTGTTACTGCGGTCTACAAGCATCATCACAACTTAACACTATGGCCTATGTGGCTTATAGTTCGTGCAACTCGTGACTTCGGACCTTTTGTCATATGAACGTCATCACGACTTAACAATACGACCTAGGTGACCAATTGTGGTCTAAGTGGTCTACAACTTGTGCAGCTCTTGGCTCAAGCCTCTACAACCTAAAGACATCATTGCAGCTCATCATTACAGTCTACATGACTAACTACTATCTGCGTGGTTCACACCTCGTGCAACTCCCAACTCTAGCCTCTAAGGCCTGCCCACATTATCACATCTCACCACTATGACTCATATGACAAGCTGTTGCTGCAACCATCAACTATAACATTCACGACATACTACTGCCTTCATATCAATTAACTAAGGTCCTTGTACACTGCTATCACTGAGAACTACTTTCACTATAAACCAGACTATGACTATTATCAATCAATTACTGTCTCAATAACTCCATCTTCCCAAATTCAAGAGAAGAGTAGACATGTGTATTCAATATTCATAATGAATTATTTCAACTGTGTCGGTCCCATGGTTTTTGCCCCTTTTGGGATTTTTCATATAAAATTGAGGTACCTCCTATTGCTTTTTTCTCTTTAATTACTTCAGCGTGTGTTGAGTTTTAATGCAATGCTAAGATGATAATATTTTGCTCTATCATTGCGAATTCTCTAGACACATCTCTTCTTACAAATTTTTTGAGGTGAGAAAATGTTTTTTTAACCTAACCAATTTAAGGGGTAAATATAAGGAAATTGCTTGCTTTTTTTTCAAAATAATATATATAGTTATAATTCACATTGTAATTTTTAACTTGTAACTTTTTAAGAAATTTTTTTTCAGTCATAAATTTATTTGAACTTTTTAAAAGATTGTAGTCATCACAAATTTGCTCACATGGAACAATGTGATGATTTTGTAGTCTTTACATTTTTTTTTAAATTTGACTGATTTTAATATTTAACTTGGAAAAAAAACTAATTTTTTTAAATTTTGCCCATTCTTCGTTCCAATGCGCGTGCGCTATATAACCAGTAAAGCAATGGGAGGGCGCTATATAACCAGTAAAGCAATGGGAGGGCAAAAAGTTAGTAGCCATTGACGATGCCTGCTCCGACTCCAATTCTCCGTTGGTCCCCCACCTTCCTAATTCTCCTCCTCATCCTCCCCGGCGGCCACAACAACGTCGATGCTACCCACCTTCCCGAAAACACCGCCGCCAGCCACTGCGCCGGCACTCTTTATCCCTCACTCTGTCTCTCCACACTCCTCTCCATCCCCAACCTCTCCTCCAAGTCCCTCCCTTCCATCATTTCCGCCGCAATAAACCACACAGCCGACGCCGTCAACGCCTCCCACCGCAACTGCTCCTCCATTTACCACCGCCTCCGAAACCTTGACCCCCTCCAACACCGCGCCCTCTCTGACTGCCTCGAACTCCTCGACACCTCCCTCGACTTCCTCCACCTCGCTTTCACCGATCTCCATCTCACCAACTCCTCCGCTCGCCGCTCCGAGCTCATCACCGTCCTCTCCGCCTCCATAACCAACCAGTTCACCTGCCTCGACGGCTTCGCCTCCGTCCCCCAACACCTCACCAACATCCGCCCTTCCATTCAACGTTTCCTCATCCACCTCTACCGCCTTCTCAGCAACATACTCGCCTTGTCCAGCAAATTCCTCCCGCCGCCAAAGCGTGCCGTCGAGGCGTTCGAGGGGTACGGACGGATGAAAGGCGGGTTTCCGGCGTGGCTGACGCTGCATGATCGGCGGCTGCTTCAGACCGAAACTCCCGGGAGCTTGGCCGCCAATTTGGTAGTGGCGAAGGATGGGAGTGGGAATTTCACGACGGTGGGGGAGGCGGTGGCGGCGGCCCCCAACAGCAGCACTGCAAGGTTTGTAATATACATAAAAGCAGGGGCATATTTTGAAAATGTGGAGGTGGGGAAGAACAAGATTAATCTGATGTTCGTGGGAGATGGCATCGGGAAGACGGTGATAAAGGCCAGCCGCAATGTCGTCGACGGCTGGACGACTTTCCGGTCAGCCACCGTCGGTGAGTATGCAATAATATTATTTGGTGGTTCATTATATAAAATAAATTATTTTTATCAGAGTCTTAGTTAATAAAATCCTTAATTATGTCTGATGCACCAATTTAAATATTGGTTAACTTGCACCGCGAGGGTGCCACTCTAATTATTGCTACTTTCCGTGTTTCTCATCACATTTGTATTTATATATATTTATATATATTCATTACAGCATTTGATTAATAATTTAATTATTAATTAATCTTGAAATGAGCCACAAAGAATGAAGCATTTCACATATTATTTTAAGCCACACAGTGGCTGCTACGTGTTCACGATTGAAGCATGAACCAAACAATTGTATAGGTTTATCATGAAATTAAGGGGCCATTTAAGGTCGTTTTTATTTTTTTATTTATTTTAATATTCTATTATATTTTATATATATATATATATATATATATA